GAAAAATAATTTTAAAGAATCCTATGCTTTTGTTTCCTCTGAAATAATCACAAAGATCTTCCAAATAATTAAAAGTCAAAATTAGGTTAGTGGGTGAAGGACTTAATTTTAGAAATAAAAAGTATAAAAACAATGACAGACTGGGACTAGTGGCTCATGCCTGTCATCCCAGCATCCGGGAAGGCCAAGGTGGGAGGACCACTTGAGGCCAGGAATCTGAAACCAGCCTGGGCAACATAGCAATACCCATCTCTTAAAAAAAAAAAAAAAGTAAAAGTTAGCTGGGTGTGTGGCGCACACCTGTAGTCCCAGCTACTTGGGAGGCTGAGGCAGATCGGATTGCTTGAGCTCAGGAATCTGAGGATGTAAGCTAAGACTGGGCCACTGCACTCCAGCCTGGGCAATAGAGCAGGACCCTATCTCTAAAAAACCAATGTCAAAACCCCATCAATATTTAGGAGAGATGCAATTCTTATAAAGATACCCCAAAAAGGAAAATTGTCTACTTTTATATTACTATTTTTATCCTTCCTGCTTTTCTTCTTACATGATTGAAGATATTCCCATAGTGAAATTTTTGCTTCATAAGAAATTGAGATATTACAGACATAATGACAGTTAAGCAAATACACACTCAAGCAAGTACCAAACATGAGACTAATACCAAATAAGAATGTAATTTTAATTAGGCACTAGCTTACTTTTTTTAGTCACTGTATAAGCTTTACTTTTTAAAATCCACAAAGAAGGAATGAGATAATTCCAACCCAAGATGACTTCCACTCTCAGGATATTCTTCATCTTCCCTCTCCCTTTTTTCCCTATAGACCAAGCCAGCTTTCTTAAAAGGGATATCAACATAGGAGCTTATACAGATGTCAACACTGGTTCTCCCTTCCTTTTTGCCCTAATCATCACATTAAAATTCAAATTTTTGTGAAATAAATGTTAGATAGTCTTCTCAGTCCTATATATCTATGCATCTACAGGGTCACATATTATTCATGAGTTTTCAAAGAACACATCCAATTTGTTCCTAATAAAATCTTTGGAGTAAAATTTGGGATACTAAATTATTATATAAAGGATAATTTCAAAGTACAATTTAAGAGCGATACATCTTTCTGTGATACCTTGGGATTTATATTTGTTTAGAGACAAGGTCTTGCTCTGTTGCCCAGGCTGGAGTACAGTGTCATAATCATAGCTCACAGCAGCCTTGAACTCCTGAGCTCAACTAGTCCTCTTACCTCAGCCTCCTGAGTAGCTGGGACTATGGGCATATGCCACCATGCCTGGGTAATTTTTTTCTTTTTTTTGGTCTCTCTTTTTTCTTTTTAAGTTTTGGACAAAGACATCCAACTGGTACAAATGCCCGGCTAATTTTTAAAAAGTTTTTGTAGAGACAGGGTTTTATTATGTTGCCCAGGCTGGTCTCAAACTCTTAGGCCCAAGTGATCCTCCTGTCTCAGATCCCAAAGTGGCATCTCTATCCTTTTTTATTTCTAAAATTAAGTCCTTCACCCACTAACCTAATTTTGACTTTTAATTATTTGGAAGATCTTTGTGATTATTTCAGAGGAAACAAAAGCATAGGATTCTTTAAAATTATTTTTCGAGTTATTCTAAGTAATAAATAACAAGGAAAATGGATTTTAATATAATACTAGAATCAGTCTATAAGTTATGGATTATGTATCATTTTAGTCACCTTTAAAAAAAACAGAACTTTTTCCAGAACAGCTGACAGGTAATAAAACTAACTGTTATGAATTGTGTCAAATTGTACATGTCACTCTCGTGAAAGTTCTAGTAAATAACAAAATGGTCAAAAGACATGCAGAAGACTAAAAATCACAAGGGTAAACTTCACATTGGTGTGGTTTGAGGAGTATAAATAAAACTAAAAATCATTATTGGGGGTGCATGGGTGGATGGGGGTTGGGAGGGTGATCTTGCATGTTTGAAACAGTTTTCAGTTTCTGACTTTATGTGATGTGTTTTTTCTTTCCAGCTGTAAAACTACCATAGAAGCTATCCATGGATTGATGTCTCAGGTTATTAAGGATAAACTGTTTAATCAAATTAACATCTCTTAAACAGTCAACAAGTAGTACTTTTGCCTAAAAGCCAGTATGAGAGAAACACTCAAGTAACACTTTAAAACCATTACCCAAAATCTGTTTAGAAGTATAAGGTGCTCTGAAGTGTCCTGAATATTAACATCCTATATTAAAACTCTTTAAAATGAAATTGTCCTTTCATTTTTTTGTGGGCAGAGTTACATTATTTTTCTAGTAGCATCTTTTAATGTTTTTGAATATGAAAAAATATATATTTTTTAAATAGTCTTGCCTTCTAAATTATTCAAAGAAGTTCATCATTTCACTTGCCATAGTGATTATCAGACCACTTTTCAACTTGCCTGTACCTTCTTTTGATAGTCTGTTAGTAAAATATAATTTAATTCAACACAGTACTCCTGAAAAAAAGAGAAAAATATATATATAATTTAACATTTTAATTATTGTAATAATTTAATAGGAACATTTTTAATGTCCCTATGAAAGAGTAGCTGAGTCATACCATAAATAATTTCTTGAAAATCAAATAATTACAGATAGAGCCTAGCACAGAGTATCTAGTCATTCAGATGTTCACCACATGCCCTTCCTAAACTAGGCCCAGTGCTACTCCTTGGAGATCTGTTGAACAACCTAGACATGGCCACTGTCCTCACAGAACTTACCATGGAGGCTAAAACTAAGTTAACGAGAAATTAAGTATACTCTATGAAGGGAGAAATATAGTGTGCTGGGGTACACTTGGGAGGAACACTTATCTCAGAGAGGGGTTTGCAAGGTAGGCTTCCTGAAGGGAGTGACCTGACCATTAAGTTGAAATTTGAAAGACAGGAGGACTAGCCAGGAAAAGACTTAATAGGGAGGTGATTACTATCATGGGCAGGGAGTACGGCAGTGTGCAGAAGGTCAGAGGCAGAAAGCAAGAACCTCAGACCTTCAAGGAAATGAGATTTAGTTAAACTTGAGTAGCAAATAAGACTTGGGGAGTGGTAAGAGATGAGTAGGGCAAGGGTAGATCCTGCAGGGGCCTTCTAAAGTTTATAATAATAGTTTTGAAGAGTTAAGAGAATTTTAAACAGCAGAAATATACTAGATCAGCAGTCCTCAACCTTTTTGGCACCCGGGAGTGGTTTCATGGAAGAAATGGATGGGGCTAAGGGTACGGTCAGGGTGATTGAAGCACATTACATTTATTGTGTAGTCAAACCTCTCTGCGAATGACAATCTGTATTAGCGGTCGCTCCCAGGCATCACCACCTCAGATCATCAGGCATTAGATTCTCATGAGCACACAACCTGGATCCCTCACATGCAGTTTACACTAGGGTTCGAGCTCCTATGACAATCTAATGCCACCTCAGATCTAACAGGAGGCAGAGCTTATATGACAGGACATGAGCAATGGGGAGTGGCTATAAATACAGATGAAGCTTCATTTGCTCACTCACCTCCTGCCCTGCAGCCCAGTTCCTAACAGGCCACACAGATGGATACCAGTCCAAGGCCCAGGGGTTGGGGACCACAGTACTAAATTGCGTTTTTTAAGAGCATCTTGTTCAGAAATTTGGTAGTGAGGGCAGATGACCTGTGGAGAATAAAGAATGAGAAAAGGACCCAAGACCGAGTTATGGAAGCATTGAATTTTAAAAATGGGCAGAGGAAGAGGAGGACACCACAGGAACAGAGGAGTAAGAAACCTAGTGACTTCATGTGCTGCAAAGGTCAAGGAAAACAAAGCCTAAGAGTTTTCTGTTAGATTTATCAATGGGGCAGTCTTTGGTTAAGATGAGAAAGCCAATTAATATTCAAATACTTTCTTGAACAGTTAATGACATATTAACATTTTGGTCTGTTTTATATATTTTTAAATATAGCAAGCACCCCCAATTTCACATGACTTGACCTAGCCTCTGTTTTTTATGCTCCTTAAAAAAAAGAAAATCATGACTGCCCCCAAAGAACAGTCAAAATCTGTATTTACTGCCAGTCTCCAGCAAAACCAACACCATATTTAGTCATTCTAGGACAAGTTGGTTTCTCTGACAGACATAATTAAATGATTAAGGTTTTGACATGAAAGAGTTAAAGAGTCATTGAAATCACCATGAAAACATACTAGTAGTTTTCATTCTGAGACTTGAATATAGTTACCCACATTTAATTTGCCATTTGTGACTTATTGATTAATTGATTGAGACAGAGTCTCACTCTGCTGCCCGGGCTAGAGTGCCATGACATTAACCTAGCTCACAGCAACCTCAAACTCCTGGGCTCAAGCAATCCTGCCTCAGCCTCCTGAGTAGCTGGGACTACAGGCATGCACCACCATGCCCGGCTAATTTTTTTTTTACTATGTATATTTTTAGTTGTCCAGCTAATTTCTTTCTATTTTTTAGTAGAGACAGGGTCTCACCCTTGCTCAGGCTGGTCTCGAACTCCTGAGCTTAAACGATCCACCCGCCTCCGCCTCCCAGAGTGCTAGGATTACAGGCGTGAGCCACCATGCCCAGCCACCATTTGTGACTTAATCAATTAAGGTATCTTGGTGGGATGGAAAATACATGCTTACAACAGAGAGGCTTACCAGGAAAAGAAAACTTTTCAGTCCTAACTTCATTGGACTCATTTTGAAGTCTCAATATTTCAGTAATGATACCTTCATTGGACAAAACAAAAAGTCGCTTCAAAAAGAATATGTTGACACACCTAACTCCAGAGTGCAGAATCATATTTGACTTAGGCACAGTTGGATTAGACTTGCTGTTATGGTTCTCAGCTCTGCCCTTCATATGCTAACCCAAACCTCAAGCTGGTTTCTCCCAATTGGCTCCACACCCCACCATGAGGAGAAAGAGCTGCTTTCCACTGTCAAAAAGGTTCTGACTTCACTCTGATTGGTCTAACTTGGGTCATGAGCTTGCCTCTGGAATTTTATATAGTGATCGTTGAGACCAATTAAGTGCTACCCCTAAAGTTGGGAGTGGTGGGGTCAAAAACTCAAAATGCACAACTACTACACAGTGGGTTAAATGGATGCCACAGAGACAACCAACAATGTCCCTTCAATTAACCATCCAGCCCAGGCAAAAATAGCCCCAGAAAAGAGAATTTGCATTTTATTTAAAATGCAGTTACTTCATTAAAAAGTAAGATTCTTTACAACTTTGTTAACACTTCTTTAATTTTAATGTATTTTCATGATCACTTTTGTTATAAGTGCTCCAATTTTTAACATTGAGCTTTTAGGAAATCAGGGTCTATTTGCAGCCATCATTCACAAACTAAGTCATGAGCTGGGGTTGCCTTTTCCTGCAAAGTATTATCTTACAGCCTTGAGCTACACGAGAGCTGAAAAGGCCATTTTTCCTAAGTGAAGTCTGGTTTTTGTTCAGTTTCAAATTTTTCAGAGATAATTTCTCAAGCCTTTTGGTGATAATATACAGGAAATGTCAATCGTCATAAAAACTTAATCCCAATGTCCAAGTAATAAAACTGGATCCAGAGCAGGACTAGAAGCCCAGGCTGGAGCAGAGTTGGGCAGAGAAGTCAATGGACATGGAATGGGAATTGGGACTAGTCAAAGGAAACAGCGAAATCCTAGAATCAAAGGTGTTTCAAATTCTCAAGGTTGTTTTAAGATTTCAAGGTCTTAGTTCCAAAGAATTCAACAACATGAACTTCTACATATAGTTGAAAATGCATGCATTTAACTGCAGTATTATTTTTATGTTACACTGCCCAGTTATATGAGTACTTCAGCTGGCATGTTTTATTGATTAACAATAATACACCACACAAGGTGTTACTCTGAAATCAACAGTACTGCCAAGAACAAAAAAGCCAACAGGGAAGATAAGCCATTTGTGCACTATTATTTCTGAATTCGGAAAATAATCTCTAAGACCAAACCTCATGTGCTCCCTTAGAGGAATCAAGTCTGAAGATTATTGTCACTGATTAGTATGACTACCTGGTATTCAAGACTTTGAAAAATCACTGCATTGCACAATAGAATAATAAACTAGCCAATAGTGCAGCCACTTAAAAATAAACACAGAAGAGCAGGAGCATAAGTAACTATACAATGAATCAGAGAAACTGTTTGGGGGTTGGAGTGCTGCATATTGCACAGGTTCAGAGTTTCCAGAAACTGTTCTGTGAGTGATGAGGTACAGATGCATAAGTCATGCATGCAGAGAAGAGTTCATTTATATTACTAAGTCTGCACTGTATCCACATGTAGCTGAATTAACTCAACTGAACACAGGATGTAAAGTTTCCAAGGTTTTTATATTTCTGGATTGTTTTAACTATAACTTAAGACATATATTGCTGAGCAATGTGGTTTTTTGTTTTGTTTTTGAAGACAGAACTACATAGAATGACAGCTTTTATTTTTGCTCATCCTTATGATGTAAGTAAAAGATAATTGTTTATGGCAAGGTAATTATGTTATTCACTGTTTAATAATTGATGTGTCTATGTCATTGTGTTCACAAAATAAGAGAAAATTGAAAAATCTAGTATGTTCTCTCATTTTGGCCGATTTCCAATACGTTTAAACAGCAAAAAAAATTTATCTTCCTGGAGCCAAAATGCTAGTTTAAGATCTTCAAGTAACTTCTGAAGTAATCAGTCTATAAGTTTCTAAACATTTCTAAACCTTTTATCCAAATATTAGTGAAAGAGATACCATTCATCTTTGTAAACATAAAGTTTTAATCTACTTATTTTATAAAACTAATAAAATGAAACTTAGGTTAATTGTGACCACATTGGCATACTTAAACTTTTGATCTCAGAAATAATAAGATTACAAAAATAAAATAAGGAACTCTATCATTTCAGGTCAAATTTGGGAGGAAACAGCTAAAATCATAGCTTGATAACTAACACCAATGATTAATTGCTTTTTCAACATGTGGATTATCTTGGTGCCAAAACTTATGGAACAATTGCCTAACAAATTGGAGAGTCCCCGATGTCAGTACTCATATTTTCTTTGGATTATACTAAGCAATTATGCTGAACTTTCTAATGACTGAGTAAAATGGTATTGTGCCTTGGGGCACATTTTGATGAACTACAGTTGTACTTTTCAAAATATAAGAGGCATATGCATAAAAAAGTATATTGTCTAGAACAGAGCTCTGTTTGACCTTTATGTTGGATTTTAGAGGATTATAAGTATCATAAACCTATAAATATATTTATCATTGATAGTCATTACTTTTTTCTTTTTTGTTTTGAGACAGAGTCTCCCTCTGTCACCCAAGCTATAGTGCCCTAGTGTCAGCCTAGCTCACAGCAACCTCGAACTCCTGGACTAAAGAGATCCTCCTGCCTCAGCCTCCCAGTAGCTGGGACTACAGGCACGTGACACCATGTCCAGCTAACTTTTTCTATTTTTAGTTGCCCAGCTATTTTTTTTTTCTATTTTTTAGTGAAGATGGTGGTCTTGCTTTTTCTCAGGTTGGTCTTGAACTGGTGATCTCAAGCAATCCTCCAGCCTCGGCCTCCCAAAGTGCTATGATTACAGAAGTGAGCCACCAAGACTGGCTAATAGTCATTACTTTAAACTACTTACCTTCCTGAAAAATCAATTGGTATAAATGCATCTCCAAATAAATGTTTAATTGATATGATTCATTTTTGTTCCTAGAACTTGCTAATTCTTACTCCATCCTCATATTCAGTTAAATTTATTATTTGCATGACTGATGATGCTAAATAATTCCTTTAAAACACATATAAAGTTAGCTTTGATTTTTTACTTCAACTCCTATGTAATCCATCTTTCATTTCTTGAGTAGCTTTTCAGTATTAATCAGCCATTATCTTAAGATTCTAGACTTAAAACATAAAGTAACACAAATTAGACTAAAAATTAATTTGTGATCTTATATACGAGGACACGACATATTGAATAACTACAACCATCTGAAATGTTCTGTAGCTTCAAGGAAGTTAACTTGATATGCCACTGATGTCAGAATTACAAATGAACACCACTTCTTGGGGAAGATTATTTTTATATTTTCCAACTAGCCTTAATATTTAAGGAAAACACCACATCACTTAAAACTAAGGAACTGTGGATGACAGACTTCAATACTATGGACTTCTAGTTATCCCAAGATCTAAAAATAATTTACTAACATATGCTTTACCTATTTCACCAATGAGCAAAACTAAAACAACACCTATATTAAATATGAGAATTTGGAACACAAGCTGAAATTATATTTCCTAATTCTAAGGATCCTCAGACTTCTAACGACATCCTTAATACTATTCATTATATTAATATCACACTACAAAAACATTATTTTTCATCAACATTTTAATTTCAGCTTATAATAAAGTGGCAAATTCTCCTCCAAACTCTAAATAAAATATAATAAATACAATAAAGTTAGTTTTTTCTATTAACAGAAGGAAAATTTACATTCTGCCTTATGAGTTAAATGCTCCTATGTATCAAAATCCAAGTTTCGCACTGTGGCCTACTCACAATCTGGTTCCTACTTTCCTCTCATTTCATTCTCCCCTCCCTCACTGTCCTCCCCCACACTGTCCTTATGA